GGCTCCAGTTTGATCCCCAGAACCATATAAGTTCCCCCTTGCCCCGCTGGGAACCTGGAATCCACTCACCTAACCATCAGTGCAGGGGTTCGCTGAGCTTGGCCGGCCCCAGCTGCATTTCTTAGAAATGCAAATTCTCAGCTCCTCCTGAGTCCTGCTGTAAGGCAAACTCAGGATGCCACCAGCCCATGGGTGTTTTAACCAGCCCCACCAGTCACAGGCAGACAAGGCAGGAAGCCAAGGACAGGGAGAAGGCAGAGGACAGGAAGGATGTGTGACAGAGGAGGGTTCGCATTCAGTGCATCTTTGGAAGGTGCCAGAAGGCAGAGGACAGGAAGGATTCTGCCATGCTTGAGGAAACCCTGCCTTTTTCTGCTCCTGGGCAACAGTGGTACAGTGGCCATCTGCCTCTCGTGACTCTTGGCTGAGCTGAACCTGAGTTCAGCTGAACCTGAGTACCATCTTTGGGAAGAAGCTGAAGTACAGCGTCTCTGTGGGCCGGACTATACTTTCAAGGGCATGAGGGTGTTTGCAGGGGCAACCCCAGCTTTAACTGGGCAAGAAGTGAGTCAGACAATTGCCTTGAATGCAACTGACTCCGAGTCAATCCTCAGCGCCACACATGGTCCCCCAAGAACCACCGGGAGTGATCCCTTAGCACAGAGCCCCAAGGGACAAACAAGGCAACAGGGTTTGGTTGCCTCCGCTGGTGAATTGAAGGACGAGGTCTTAAGACAGAGTGACCAGGACAGAGATAAGCTCCCTCCGCTCAGGGTCCGAGACAGCTCGGCAGACACCAAGGTCCATCCAAGGCAAGAGTCAAGGGACAAGTTTATACCTGAGTTGAGGCCGCAAAGGAGGCTCTATCCTTTCTCTGACACCCAGGCACGCCCCCTAGAACCTTTAAGCAGAAGGAATCAGGGAAGTGAGCCGAGAAATTCCCTGAGGAACCAGACAGGTGAACGTACATGGCAGCCGCAGGCCAGGGGTTGGGGTAGCCGGAAGAGAGGGGGAGGGAACTCACGCAGGAAATGCAGGAAGCCGGACCCTGGGCTAAGAGGTGAAGATGGAGTGGGGAGGCTGCTGACTTCCAGCTCTGCCTTCCTCCTCCCACTCCGTCGCCACCTCCCTTGAGATGCTCTAACTTCAAGGCAGACCTGAGGCCGCGCATCCTCCTTGGGGAACTGGGACTCCCAGCCTGCATCTCACCCACGGCCCAGGAAGGGCTTGATAATGGGGAGAGGCTTCCCCGATTCTGCTCCATGCTCCACTCATGGCCTTGGGACTTCAAGCCAGACAGGGACCGAAGCATCTTTGTGAGCTGTTCTTTACATTTCCAGGGGACAAGGGACGCCTTTTATTTCCTTCTCGAGATAGAGATTTGAAAATCCTCTTCCTTTCTCCCTCCTCTGTCCTGTGGGGTGCCCGGACATATCCAGGGCATGAGGATGTCAGTGCCGCATGTCACGCCAGGTCCCTTGGCACACAAAGGGGAAATGGAGCTAAGGGGGGCATGACTGGCCTCTGGACTCCTGGCACAGGTGTTTCTGTTGGCATCTCCAAAGCTCCTCTTTAAGCAGCCACTGTGGGTGCTGGTGCCTGTCCCCGTGCAAGGGCACAACACTATTGTTAAACCAAGCATGGGAGGGAGGGGCCACAGATTTGGGGGTGTCTAGGCGGCACCGTTTCATAAGAACACCGAGAACTGCATCCACAGATGTGTGAAAATAACGCAGGCACCCCACACACAGAAGGAAGTCTGCAAGCAAGAGTCTGGCTGCTTAAAAAAAGATTCTGTCTTCTGGCGTATCCATATTTCCAGAGTTTTCTACAGGGAACTTGTATGCCTTATGTAACAAAAAGAAGTGTGGAAACAGCATTCAGCACGGAACATTCATAATGCGGCTGAGCACCTCATCCCAGACTCCTCGAAGGGGAAAAGGTTCTAGAAAGCACACGCTCCAAAGGCACCTTTCAGAAGCTGAGACGCAGGAATATTTGTCAGGCATGTCTCTGAAGCACAGACTTTTTTCCTTTTTAATGTTAAGGAATTTAAAAAAAAATTGGAGGGGAAGTAGAGAGAGAATACGGCAGGCAGAACACGTGTGTTGCACACAGCCCACTCGGGTTCAATTCAGGGCATCCCATACGGTCCCCAGAGTGCTCGAGGAGTGATTACTGAGGGCACAGCCAGGAGTAAGCCCTAAGCACTGCTGGGTGTGGCCCAAAATGAAAACAGATTTATTTACAAAGTTATTTACAATAGATTTTCAGCCATACAGTGTTTAAGAGACTTTTTTAAAAGACCGTTTCAGAGCATTAGGTTGTCACTGGGAGGATCTATAAAAAAAAAAAAAAAAGAAGAAGAAGAAAAGAAAAAATAATTAAATGCTAAGAAAAGGTCCAGAGCTTGCAGGGTAATTCTGAAGATGAAAAGAATGCTGGGCTGGAGGGAAAAGTGGATAGGACACTTGTCATGCTGTTCAGTCTCTAGCACTGCACGGGGTCCCCTGAGCACTGCCAAGTGTAATCCCTGAGCACAGAGCCAGGAATCTGGGTGTGACCGCCAAACTTAACAACAACAATAGTAATGCTTCTAATGATGCTTTCCAGGACACAATTAAAGATCAGGAGAAGAGGGCCAATGCAATAGCACAGTGGGCAGGGCTTTTGCCTTGCACATAGCCAACCCAGGCTCAATCCCCAGTATCTCATATGGTCCCCCAAGAACCACCAGGAGTAATCCCTGAGTGTAGAGCCAGGAGTAACCCCTGAGCATCGCCAAGTGGGACCCAAAAAGGGGGGGGGGAGAGCAGGAGAAGAAAACACCCTACTACCCCGACCCTCCGTGGACACACACTGACCCTTTCATGCATGCGTGCACGCCTCCCACCCACCCTCGGACGCCCGCTATGACCATGCTCCCATTTTTTACCCGGAAGGAAACTAAGCACAGAGCACATCTCAGCCCCAGGCTTCTGGGTGCGGAATCTAGTTTGCTAGCACTGCTTTCCTCCCCTCTGACAAGCCACCGGGAACTGCCCTTGCTGTCCCTGATAAATCATTTGGGGCTGTGTAGGGTCCACCCAGCAGGCTAGACAGCCTCCTGCATACTGCACCTGGGGCCACCGTGGCATTGGGTCGCTGGTTAGGGGAAAGCAGAGTGACTGACAGGCAATGATCTGTGACTGCTACCAAGTGGCTGGTGTAAATATTCACGCTGGAGGGTGTGGCAGCTAATACCACTGATGCCAGTGGTGGACGGGAGTGGCCTGTAGGACCAGGTGCAGCCCCTCCAGTCCAACTGTCCCTCCTGGGAAAGCCACACAGGATCTGCATGGCCCAGCAGCAGCAGACGGGCCCCAAGGGGTCTATGCTGCAGGGAGGTCTAGAGGCTTGTGTTGTGTGGATGGAATTTTGAGCTTCAGGCTGTGTTACAAGCGTGTGGCCAGGCCTGCCCCAAGGATCAGCAAGGCTGGGTTCCGAGGTGGACAGTTAGCTGCAAAGTTTCTGGTTTGGGCCAAAGAGTTAGTGGGGGGTGCGGAGTGGGAGGGTGGCCACTTCTGGCAGTAGCTGACCCCAGTTTCATCCTCAGCAGCACATGGTCCCCTGAGCATCACTGGGCACAAGCCCTAGAGGCCCCCTGGAGTGCGGCCTACATTGAACTGCTGCTGCAGCCAGCAGAGATTCACCGGGAGGGACCCCTAGGTGCCCTGAGCACCACTTGGAAGTCCCCCCACAAAATGCACGTTTCACAAAGATCTGATTAGTCCCCTCCTCACCCACCCCATTTACCAGAAGCTCCACGACTCCTAGTAAGCAAGATCTTGGTTGCAATTAAGCAGGAGGTGATAATGTAATGATCCACCCAGCCCGGAGCTGAGCAAACTTCATAATTTCACCTCCTCCTCCCATAGCTCCATGAAGGGTAAGTTTTGTTCTCACTGTTTCACAGATGAAAAAAACTGAGGCATGGGGAAGTTAAGGAACATGCCCATTGCTGGGAGACACTAAGGTCTAAAGCAATTGGGAAAGAGCATGCGCGCACACACACACACACACACAGACCCCTCTATTGGTAAAAGTGGTTTACTACAGGTGAGACAGTTACACAAAGTACTGCCATTTCCTTTCCCCTTAACTTTATATACTTATTGCAATGTTTGGCTTTTCCCAAGGACAAGCTTTTGGTTTTTCTCCTTTAAAAAAAGGGGGGTGGGGAGAGTGGTACAGAGAGATGGTACAGCAAGTAAGACACTTGCCTTGCACACCGCCCAACCTTGTTTAATCTCTGGCCTCTCGTACATTTCCCTGAGTGATTTCTAAGTGCAGTAAGGAGTAACCTCTCAGCATTGCCAGTATGGCCCAATAGAGAAGGAAAAAATAAAAAGAAAGAAAGAAAGGAAAAAAGTCCAAAAACAAAAAAGTTTTTGAGCGGGGGCTGGAGAGATAGTACCGCAGGCAGGACGCTTTCCTTGCACGTAGCTGACTTGAGTTGGATCCGCAGAATCCCTTATGGTCTCCCCAGCCTCGCCAGGAGTGATCCTGCGTGTACAGACAGGATGAGACCTGAGCACGTTAGGGTGTGACCCACCCCTGGAAATAAAGGAGCAGACGAAAGAGATAACACTTGCTTTGCATGTGGCCAATCCGGGTTTGACCCCCAGCACCACACAAGGTCCTCTGACCACTGCCAGGAGGGATCCCTGAATCTGGAATCAGGAGGAAGCCTGAGCTTGGAGGAGTTTGACTCCCAAATGCAAACGGGTGGGGGTGGAGAGAGAGCCCAGTGGGCAGGGTGCTGGCCTTGCCCCTGGCCAACCCAGCACTACCAGGAATCATCCACGAGCACTGAGCCGAGTGGCCGTGGGCACCATCGGGTGTCTCCCCCCTCCCCCGAATTCCAGACCCATGAGGCAGCCAGCGCAAGGAGGAGGAGGTCGGGGCTCCGGGCTGCCCGCTGAGACCCCCTCCCTGCCTCTTCTCTCCCGCCCTCGCAGGCTGAGAAGAACCACGAACCGGATCCTGGCCTCCTCTTGCTGTAGTAGTAATATTTTGGGATCGGTGAACGTGTGCGGCTTCGAGCCCGACCAAGTCAAGGTGCGCGTGAAGGACGGGAAGGTGTGCGTGTCGGCCGAGCGGGAGAACAGGTACGACTGCCTGGGCTCCAAGAAGTACAGCTACATGAACATCTGCAAGGAGTTCAGCCTGCCGCCGTGCGTGGACGAGAAGGACGTGACGTATTCGTACGGGGTGGGCAGCTGCGTCAAGATCGAGTCTCCCTGCTACCCGTGCACCTCCCCCTGCTCCCCCTGCGCGCCCTGCGCCCCATGCCCACCCTGCGCCCCGTGCTCCCCCTGCGCCCCGTGCGCCCCCTGCTCGCCCTGCAGCCCCTGCAGCCCGTGCCCACCCTGCAGCCCCTGCTCCCCATGCACCCCCTGCAGCCCGCTCTGCGACCCCTGCAGCCCCTGCTACCCGTGCAGTAGCCGATTCTCCTGTAGAAAGGTGGTTCTGTAAAGCGCGGGCAGCCGGGACTTAGTCGAAGCCGTCTCGCCGGCCAAGCACTCCCGTCGGGTTTCTCTCCCCTGCCGCGGCCCATGCTCCTCTCCGGGAGATAGGCACGAAATACACAACTGCATCCACTCGTGCGTGTCAGACCCGTCTGTCCGCCCGCCGCACCGGCCAGCGACCGGCCCGGACGCGGAGAGGAGGTGGGGGTGGGGGGTCTGCCCTCCGCTCCATCCTGCTGTTCTACCCAGACCCAGCCCGTGCCCCAGTGCCAGGCATGAGCACCCACGCACACTTATTTTTCTAGCTGACACACTGAAAGACCCTCGTGCAGAAACGCTTCCTCTGGTCGGCGCGGCGGGGAGCTCTGTTTAGAGAGAGTCCCCAAGGCCCAGGGGCTTTCTTAGGGCCCGATGATCAAGCACAAAAGCACAGGTGAGGGGCCGCCTGCTCACAGGGCCAGGTGGGGCCGCACAGCCAGAGGCTGGAGGAATGGAAATGAACCAGGTCTGGCTCAGGGGCATTTCTCACCGCCTTAGGATTTCCTCTTTTCTTTTTCATTTTCTATGAAATAGATGTCCTCCCATTGTTCATCGATTTGCTAGAGCAGGCCCAGTAACGTCTCCATCGTGAGACTTGTTGTTACTGTGTTTGGCATATCGAATACACCACGGGTAGCTTGCCAGGCTTTGCCATGCGGGCAAGATACTCTCTGTAGCTTGCCGGGCTCTTTGAGAGGGGTGGAGGAATCGAACCCAGCTCGGCGGGGCTGGCTACACGCAAGGCAAACGCGCTACTGCTGTGCTATCACTCCAGCCCATATGTGTAGATATATATTGGTTTAGGGGCCAAACCTGGCAGTGCTCAGGGCTTGCTCCTGACTCTGTGCTCAGGGATCACTCCTGGTTAGGACCAATTTCGATGCCAGAGATTGAACCCTGGTCAGTCACATGCAAGGCAACAGCCGTCACTCCTGGACTATCTCCCCCTCCTCCTTTGGACTTTTACTTCAACTCTGGGCTGTTCTGGAGAGAAAAAGCCCAGCTTTGGCCCCATGCAGCAGAGCAGCTGAGGTGAGAACAGTCTCAGACAGAGCCAAGGATGAGAGAGAGGAGACGAGAGGACTCGGCTGCGAGGGACTGATAATCTCCCCCCACCCCTCCACGCACACACACACTTAGAGGAAACAGCCTCACGAAGCACAAGAATCTCCCTCACACGGCACAGCAACGTGGGCGGAGAAGTGGTCCACAACCTCAGCTGTCTGAGAACAGCCACGGGAGCTCTGTAATTCAGATGCCAGCTCTGCAGAGAGTGCACGGCTAAGTTGCTTGCTTTCATCACAGCTGACCCAGGTCCGAGTTTCAAGTACCACACATGGTCCCCTAAGCACTACCAGGAGTGATCCTTGAACACTGCCAGATATGGCTCCAAACCCCAACATATATACATGCATGCACAAGGATATCATGCCAAAATGAGAAAAAAAAACTTTAAAAAATTAGCAGTGTCTGGGCATCACTGTCTTCAGAGATAAAAGCAAGAGATTTTGAGGTTCAGCATAATATCAAGATCTCTAAAACCTTAGGGGGTCATAGTAATAGTATAGTGGGTAGGGTACATGCCTTATGTGACCCAGGTTTGGTCCCCAGCACTTCCTAGGGTCCCCTGACCTCTCCAAGTTGTCCCTGAGCACCGAGCCAGTAGCGAGCCCTAGCACTGTCAGGTGTGACCCCAAAACTGAAATAAATAAAAGCTTTTCCAGGTAATTCACTTAAAGCCAAGGTGTGTGTGTGGGGGGGGGGGTGTCCTCAGGCCTCAGAAAGCTCTCCCTGTCCATTTTCTTGGACAGCTTCAAGTTCAGGGAACAGAGTAGTAGTCAAGTGGGAAGGACGCTTGTCTTGCCTTGCGCATGCCCAACTCAGGTTTAGTCCCCAGCATCCCATATGGTACCCAGAGTGACACTAGAGTGAGTCCTGAGCACCACCAGGTATGCCTCCACTGCTCCCCCCTCAAAAGAGAAAGCTTCAAGTTTAAGTTTTAAAATGTAGGATGGTGTTAGCAGATGCACTGTGCTTTCCACAGCGGGAAGAAATGGCATCTACTACCGGCGGGGGTGAAAACTATGGAACATTTATACCCTTTTAAAAGGGTTTAATCAGCGGCCACTAGGTATAGATATTTGTGTGTGCCAAGTCTGCTCTGCAGTGTCTCCCTATGTGAGGGATCCAGCATATAAGCAATCTCATTTGTGGGGGGCACTACCTGGTGATGCTCAGGGGTTACTCCTGATAGGCTTCAGGGAACCATATACTCGGGATTGAACCTGAGTTGGCCATGTGCAAGGCAAATACCCTACCCACTGGACTATCTCTCCAACTCCCTAAACAGTGTTATTTCCAAGTTACAAATGTTTGAAACTGACTCTGGAAAAATTTCACCCTGTAGCTCCACCCATTCTCCTGCCAATGGTTGGTTTAGTTTTGTGCTCACCCCATGCCAACTGCCTCTGCTCTGTCAGGCAATTCCTCCATCTACCCAATCTGCAGCCGGACTTCCTCATTTCAAATGTCCAGGGATGGAGAGATCCAATCATCCTTTTCTCAATCACCTTATTCAATTCCAGGAGAAAGGGCTCCAGTGGAGGGAGGAAGTGGGAAAGAAAGAGAACTGCCCTGGTCAAGGGGAGGCAGGTGGCAGCTCCAGATGGGCCTGCAGGATACGTGGCTGACATCACTGCCTGCCTGGGGGCCTGAGGGAAGCAGCAGTTGACCCCCAACTCAGAGCCTGGCCAACGGTCTGCGGGTTCCTGTCTCTGCTCACCAGATTCAGAGAGACTTGGTAGGACAACAGTCAGCTCTTCAAGTATCAGAATGAGCGAGACCACAGGAGAGGAGCTCAGCTTCTCAGAGTGAAGGCCACAACCACGAAACAATGGTCAAGGCGTTTTCCAGGAAGCCACCAAGCCCTAGTTGTATGGTGTGGCTGTTAAGAGATTAGGTTATGGGCTGGAGTGATGTCACAGTGGGTAGGGTGTTTGCCTTGCATGCGACCAACCTGGGTTTGATTCCCAGCATCTCATATGGTCCCCCGCACACCACCAGGAGTAATTCATGAGTGCATGAGCCAGGAGTAATCCCTGTGCATTGCCAGGTGTGACCCAAAAACAAACAGAGAGACTAGGTTATGGGAGGTGACGCATGCCAGGGTTGGGTTGGGCCTCACTGCAGACCTTGAGGAAAGGCCCAGTGCAGGACCACTGGGTTCCTGTGAATGGGAGAAAGCTCATATGAGAGAGGAGATGTGTTTGCTGTTTCCAAAATAGAACAAGCTTCTCTGTGAACTTTAATGCACATGCAAATCAGAGTCCAACTTAAACACCCAATTCCACCTACCCCAGTGGGTGACAGGAGAGGGTGACTCTTGAATGGGCAGAGACCAGAAACCTGAGGGTTAGCAAGAAGGTGAAGGAGGCCCAGCTACTTAGCTGCCCAGCATGCTGAATCAATATACCAACACATGCTTGGTAAGTGCAGAATTAAAGTTGGAGATGAAGGTAATTAAACAATTTGGTGAATACAAAATACATCCTAGAACTGAGGAAAGGTCTAATGGGGTAGTAATAATCATGACAACGTACTATTTAATAACAATAGTATCATCAATGAGGATTTCTTAACTATGGGATAGAGGGAAATCCACCTAATTTGACTGCTGTTGTAAATTAATTAAGTGATTTGTTCATGTTCCCAATACTAGTGGAATGTGGTTACATTTTAAGTGCTTCAACCTTTTCCCTACACAGATTTCTTCTATTTCTATTTCTGAGCCCTTCTGCCTGTCTTTCTGCCTGTCCTTTTTCCTCTCCCCTAAAAACTCTATGAGCATCACAGATTGCAAAGAATGGGACTCCCTGTCTTAGCAGTTTTTGGCTGAAGACATGGTGCTGAAAATGTTAAGGTAAGTTGGATAATGAAACCAGAAGACTGAGGGGTGGTTAGCAGAGTAAAGAGGGAAAGGTATTTCTAGTGACCTGATGGTCATGAACCTGAAGCAAAGTTCATAGGGTTTTTTGTCACATATCTTGGAGTTTTCAACATGCCTGAATGAGTCCCAGGATTCTTTGTCATGAGTGAAAGATGAGTTGAGACACTTTTCTCAGGGGGAAAAGCTTTTGATACTGACCCAGAAGTCATTCCTTCCAGCCTGGAGAATTACTGGTTTCTATATCTAAAGACAGAGAAACAAACCAAAATCCACTCATTGCTTACACTCTTGCATCGTTGCATGGCTAGTGTTTTCCAATCAGACAAAAGCTGTTTCTAACTTCCCTAAGCCCAGGTACCAATGTCAGTTACCCAAAGGTCAGTAAATCTGGTGAATATAGCCCCACACCATAAAGGTTCATAAATATGACTTTGGACTGCTGCTGAAGACCATGATTCCAGGACTGTGAAAGTGCTTTAGAGATGATCAGAAACAGAGATAGCCTTCTGGAGTTCAAATGCCAGAGAGGCTATGCTTCAGAGTTGCTTTTCCTAAGACAACTGGTCTACCACTTAGTCTCTTCCCAGGTCCTTTTTCTCTTTCTCTGCACAGTACAGACTTCTTCCTTGAGTATGGGCATGACCCCATATGGTTACAATTTTAAACTCTTGCTTTTAGTTCATTGGAAACCACCAAGTGCCAGAATATTTGACATATCTAGTCTGGAATATTCTTGGAGAAAGATACCCCTTTAAAACATCCATGACAACTGAATTTTCACAGACTGAGTAAACTTATCTGAGAAGGTTCTTGTTTGTGAACCTTTGTGTTATAAACTTCTTTGGAGGGTGGAAGAGGAGACTTGAGCCACACTAGGCAGTGCTCTGGAGTTATTCCCAGTTCTGTGCTCAAAGGTCACTTCCAACACTTCAGGGGACTATACTATGCCAGGGATTGAATCCATAGGCTTCCCACATGCAGAGCATGCATTCAACCTATTGAGCTATCTCTCCAGCCCCCTA